TTGCAGTTTAGGCCTGCTCCCCGCTGGCAAGTGGACATCCCCCGAGGACTCCCGGGCTGCCAGAGGGATGTCTGACTGCCAGCTTAGGCATGATTCCCCAGGGAGCGGGCTTAAGCCAGCAGGTGGACATCCCTCAAGGGGTCCCAGACTGCGAGAGGGCACAGGCCGGGCTGAGGGACCCCCCTGAGTGCACAAATTTTTGTGCACCGGACCTCTAGTCCTATATAATAAAAGGCTAATATGCAAATAGACCAAATGGCAGAACGACCCGTTGCTATGATGCACACTGCCCACCAGGGGGCAGACGCTCAATGCAGGAGCTGCCCCCTGGTAGTCAGTGCACTCCCACAGGGGGAGTGCCGTTCAGCCAGAAGTCAGGCTCACAGTTGGTGAGCAAAGTGGTGGTGACAGGAGCCTCTCCCACCTCTGCGGCAGTGCTAAGGATGTCCAACTGCCGGTTTAGGCCCATGGGGAGTGCACTGACCACCCTTGAGAAATAGGCCTAAGCCATTAGTCGAACATCTCCCGTGGACTCTTGGACTGTGAGAGGGCGCAGGCAGGGCTGAGGGACCGCCCCCACCCCAGGTGCTAGAATTTCATTCACTGGCCCGCTAGTTTATTATAGTCCCTTGTTTTTACTGTCAAATAACATAATATTCCATGGTATAGATAGGCCATATTTTGTTTATCTATTTATTAGTTGGAGTTTTGCCACTCTTTGGCTATTATAAAGAGTGCTGTTTTGAACGTTCACGTGAATTTTTTGTGAGAACATCTATTTTCAATTCTTTTGGGAATATACCAAGGAGTAGAATTGCTGAGTTATATGATAATTCTATGTTGTACTTATTGACAAAAAACTAAATTATTTTCCATAATACTTCACCAGTTTATATTCCTACTAGCAAAGTCTCTGGGCTCCAATTTCTCTACATTCTCATCAATGCTTGTTATTATCTGTCTTTCTTATTACAGCCATCCTAGTGCATATAATGTAGTACCTTATTGTGGTTTTGATTTCATTTCTCTAATGACTAATGTTACAACTATCTTTTATGTATAACAAATTTTACACTGAATGATATTTAACAATTATTTTAATGTCCATTATTTCAGGGATAGAAAAATCTTTTCTCAATAATGATCTTAAATTTAGATGAAAAAAATGGAGTATGTAATACAGGGCACAGATGTTACCATGGTGCCATTCTGAGCAGCAGAGACCTCACCTGAGATCTCAGTCCAACTTGAGTTTTTGCCTCCATACTGACCCAGGGCCATCAGAGAGTCTGGCCTGACCTCTATCTCCAGAATTCAATGACAAGTTGAAATCCTCTCATTGTTCACAATCACTTGCTTTTCCTTGTAGGTGATTTTGGAATATTTTTATAATGTTGATTTTGATGCTAATGGTCATTTTTGTTGTTGTTGCACAACTGTCAAAGAAATGTGTGCACAAAGCAGGAAATCTCATTGGAGGGGACTTACAGGCTGGATTTGGGGATTCTGAAGTCTGAGAGGGGAAGCTAGATACTCCTGCTAGTGATCTTGAGCCTAAATTGGGTGACTCTAGATCCAGTGTGATGGGAGGCCAATGTCTGAGCTCTGAGGACAAAAAGATTTCACAATCAACTTGTCTGGGTCTTGCAGGAACCAAAAGAAAGTGTATAAGAAGCCAGGATGGAAATTGGTTCAACCCTATGGAATTTGAAGAGAAAGCGGGCTATGGAACCTCACACAGTCGTTGGAAGACCCGTGTGCTCAGCAATGGGTATACCTTACAACTGCTGATGAAGGTATTCCAGTGACGAAGAGGGGATATGCCTTTTTTGTTGTAGTCAAAGATAAGTTCACCATGTTCTCACCAAATATATATTGAATCATGGCTAGAGCCCTGAGGCTCCTGACTTTATCCTTTTCCCTGGGAGATGTGCCTGACCCTCAGACCTCAGTATAAGGCATCAATTTGTCACATCAATTTGTCAAACGGGATCTGTTGGGGTAGATGCAGGAGCCTGAAGAAGAGATAGGTCATTCTGACTCAGGTGCTTGCTGACAACTTTAGGCACTGAAAGAAAGGAGACAGTCCCCAAGTGGGCATGAGGAACTCCAAAGAAAGAATGGTGGGAAAACCAGAACCACGACTAATGTGGCTCCATGGATTGAGAAAGACGGATTATGTATGATATGGCACAATCCATCCATTGGGATTATTTGTGGAGTGATTTAATGCCAGGTTAAGGAGTTTAAACTCATAGCATATATAATGCAGAATTAGGGAGTCTCCTGAGGTGTGAAATAACATCTTTAAAACATTATTTCAGACAACATGGGGCCTGGAAATGACTTCACTATAGTGAACCTACAATGCTCAGCTCTAGTATCACCCCTCTCTGAATATTCCCTGACTCACCTGCTTTGTTATCTTTTCCCTGGGTTCCCTGACCCCACCGTTAAGGCGCTTCTCATAATGTTTTATACATACCCTTTTATGCAATCCCTTGTTCTCCTAGACCCCTCTAGGGTTTGTACATCTTTGTGTGCCCAACATTGTCCAGAATGTCTGACACCCTGTAGGTGTGTTTGTTGAATAGCCTTGGTGTGAGGACATAAGCTTGAATGGCACTAGTGTGAATGGAAAGGAGGTGAGAGATGTCAAAGAGATTGTGGAGGAAAACCTCTTAAAACTTAAGAAAAAGGCACAAGAGTAAGGAAAAAGTTTGTAAGGGTGAACTGATGAATTCTAGAATAAGTACAGGTGAGGAGAGGGAGATGGTATCTCATTTAGACATCTTGGTTTGAGTTTACAGTGAGTGATACATCCAATAAGAAACATTTATGAGGAGGTTTGAATGCCAGACTCACAAAACATAAACACAGGCTAACCATATACTTGCATCTTTTTATCTTTCAGAAGGGACTACTACCTACACCTCCAGCAGAACGTGGAAGGTCAAAAAAGGTGATTAGTTTATGCAAGATCTTACTACATAACTGATTTTATTATGGTTTCTCAAATGTGTGATTATCATTGAGTTTCTTCTTCTAGTCCCCCCAGCCATTTTTTTTGCATGTGCCTTCAGAAATGCTACTTTGAACATTAGGTTGTATACAAGGTCATCTGTGAAGGTAAACTATTTGAGATTAGGATAATACGGATTCATCACAATAACCTCATCGAACAGTGTTAGCTATAGATACAGATGTTGTAAGGACATCAAATGTAAAGCAAACATAATTATGGAATTCATTAGAAAATGTCTTAATAAGGTGATAGGGTCATCTTCAACTCTATCCCAGATTTTGTTCATATTTTTATATCCTCTTGCATTATTCAATAAAATATACACACAGTTATTTGGCCTTCATGGTGGTGCTGTGAGGGAGAAAGCTCTTGGGAGATTGATGTATCTTACATGACGGGCTGACCTGGAAAATTGTTTACTTTGATGCACCCCTTTGCTTCCACTTCAAGGGGCTGTGCAGGCCTCCTTTCTGCTTATGAAAGTGATTTATCCCTCTATGGAAGATGGCTATGGAGGCAACATACAAAATACATAATGAGCAGTGCAGATTTAGCAGCAGATGATAGTTTTTTTCCAGACTGAGTATGGATGAGAATTTGAGAAGGAGGGGAATGTGAGAAGTGCCATTCTCATACAATTCAAGTAGAAAGGCTGTCCAAGGCTTTCGCCGAATAAGTTGCATATAGCTGTCCACTGGGACTTCATATAACACTGGAAATGTAAGGTCCAGGCCTTTACATTATCTGATGTTCTCTGTCTTTCAAACTACCAGTCCTTGGGACATTTCACCCACTGGGTTTACTGAAGATAAAATATTTTTAACATACTTTAAATATCAGTGTCTCTACTATTCTCCATGTTTCTACAGTTACTCAATCTGGATTACCTAAAAGAGCTAGCAACTTCCTACTCACAGGTTCTATCCTTATCAATGGGTATAACACTTAGCAGCTATAAGGTTCAATTGTCCCTATATTTTGCGTCTCCTTGATCAAGAACCAACATGACCCAAAGTGACAGATCTCAGGACCCATTACTACCTCAGTGGATCCTCTTTGCCTCCCAGAACTTTTCTTGATGATGGAGCCCCCAGTTTCTGGAAACTTCAGTGTTGCACTTGGCACCACACAACACATCCCTATCTCCTGATGAAGGTCAATTGTGCTTTCTTATGACATCTGCTGTGTTGTCAAATAACCTGAAATACTCAGGCAAAAAATCATTTATTATATGCTAATATTAGTTTAAGAGATAGCATATAATCTCTTTTCCTAAATGAAACAATAATTATTTATTTACTCATTCAACATACAATTATTGAGTGCATAAACAATGCCCAATGTCCATTGAAGAAGATTGAAATAGTATCCCTGACCTTAAGGATTGCTTCAACTTTGTTGTCTACCTTGGAAGAATAACTACTGGGAAGCAGAAGATTCTATGCTATTCAGAGAGGCAGACAGTGACATGACCATTTCTCAGGTCATTTTCCAGTGGCTCAGACTTGTAGCCTTGAAACTTTTTAGCCTTGAGAGGAGCTCAGAGCTGGCCAGAGCAGGCAGGAGGAAAGCCTCTTGTTTGCTCCAGCTCCATGGCCACAGCCGGCTGAAAGCAGGTATCTGGGGTTTATTTATCTTCTATAATTGATACTTTGTTGCTTTGGGTGGAGCTCAGAGCTGGCCACAGCAAGCTTGGCTTCCTCCATCATTGGGGCAACCAAGCCTCCAGCTCCCTGGCTGGCCGCCATCTTCTTGGTTGGGTTAATTTGCATATAGTCACTCTGATTGGCTGGTGGGCGTGATGGCTGTTTTCAGGCTGGCCACACCCCCTTTAGGGTGGGGGGGTCCCCACTGGGGTGCCTGGCCAGTCTGGGTGAGGGGCTGAGGGCCGTTTTCAGGCTGGCCAACCCCCCCCCCCCTGGTGATGTACCCTCACTCTTATTAATAGTCTTTTCTAGGATAGACATTACAAAGTTCAAAACTGAAGCTTTGAGCATGATTTGGTGGAAACCTGAGGGATTTATTTTCATCCCTGGGTGAAGATAAAAGCTGAAGCTGCCTGAAAGGAAAGAGGCCAAGTCATTCTATTGAATATACAAAAGTAATGTAAGTGTAATACCTGGTAGTCAGTTTTTTGTGAAAAGTCAGTCAGGTGCAATCTTGGGATTTGGATAAAAGGGAGATGAGGATAAAAGAAGAATTGCAGTACCAAGGGCCTTGGATTCATTTTAACTTTGGGCAGTGCCCCAGAAGAGCCATAGGAGGTAGTGGAGTTATCTCTGGAGTACTCTGAATGATAGATGGTTATGCAGAGGGTCATGTCATACTACTCATGGTCAAGATTCCATGGGGACAAGAAGGCAACTCTTCCAGCATGAGTACCCTCACTCTTGTTAATAGTCTTTTCTAGGATAGACATTACAAGCCAATTCAAGATTGCCTTACAATATCTTATGCATTAATAGCCACACTTGTTCAGTCTAAATCTCAACTCAACTTGCATACTGCAATCACCTGAAGACCTTTGAAAAATAACATTGCCTGAATCCCACTCTAGACAAAATTTTGATTAAATCATTCTGAGTTATGACTTGGACGATAGAATTTTTAAAATGTCTCCAGATGATTTTGATACACAGGTTACTCATTCTATGACTTAAGGAGAATACCAATGCCTGTGCCTCAAACCAGACTAATTAATTTAGAATCTCTGATGTTGGGACCAGGAATTTAGTATTTTACATACTCTCCTCTGATAATTCAAATAGGCAGCCAAGCTAAGAAAGAAAAAGCCGAAGAGTAAATGATTCTAAACTTGATTAAAGATTACTGATGCGAGATTCTTATACATTAGTTGTATAAGTTATTTCCTTGTTCTTGGAAGAGGGTCACTACTTTCTGGAGGATGATGATAATCTGTGCATCCCTCCAGTAAGGAGAAGGAAAATGGCACTAGGTCTTGATGCTAGAGCAGTCTCAGTCCCCATTGAGGATGTGACTCAGTGTTCTCCCAGAACACAGAGTGGGAGCTCTTGGCAAGACATTCTCTGTTTTGATCTTTCTCATATACGGCCATTTTTAAAAGCAAAATAAATGACCAGACTCTAACTTTGCCAAACACAAGAATTTTTGCCCAAAAGTCCAGATCAATATTCAAAATAACTGTTAATTAATAACTTCTCATTTTTACTACTTTCTACACAAAGCGAGATAAAATAACTATGCTTCAAATTACTCTGTCATTTGCTTCAGGAAAGACATTTCTGATCTTTGTGTGTTGCTAACTGAGATATAATAGAGACTTTGAGAAACAGACCACTTTTCTCTGTATTAAGGTGGATCTATTCATTAGGGTCTCAGCATCCCTGTATGAAGTGGAACCTATAGGAACAATGGAACTAGCAAAAGATGCTTAAAAATTACTGTGAAGAGTGGGCATAGAGAAGATTTGGGATATGGGTGAGAGTATAGACCCAGAATGGATTCTCAGATTTGTGGTCAAAGGTGAATGTTTTATGAAATGGAAGCACTAAGAATGGACATGTAGTGGGTGTGAGGACAGATGCATATATGAGGTTTTGATTGGATGAGTTTGGAGTGTTCTTTAAATCCCCAGGAGGAAACACTGAGTGAGCATAAAGATGTGCACAAATGCAGAAGACAGGCTGGACATCTGGGAGCTAGAGACATAGCGATGTAACTGCAGCTTTGAGCGTGATTTGGTGGAAACCTGAGGAATTCTGTCTAAATGTTTGAGGAAGAGAAGGATGGGAAATGAAAGAGATACAGCATGGAGGCTGATAGAGTGATGGCACAGGCCACACATGTTTGGAGAAAGGAGAAATAGAGCAGAGAAAGGCAGAAGCTGTCATCCCTATCTCTTCCTGCTCCTCAATGTCCCTCTTTCCCTCCACCCAGCACTCATCAGTGGGTGGGCCAAACCCCAAGCCAATCTCATTTGTGTTAACTCAGATGGTCACAAGATAGGAATTTCTCCAATAGACCATGGCATAGACAGGATCTTTCTATCTTGGATAGAACTATCCCCAAGATGTTTTCAAAATGTCTCGAGTCTCTCAGAAGGCAGAAATGGACAAATAAAGTTTATTTTTTTTAATGTTTATTTTATTTTTTTCAAATAATTTCTGATAGTTTCTGATTCATATATGTTCTTCCAGGTTCACAAAATGTTGTGCATTCTAGATTCTCATAGCACTGGCTTCTGGGGTCTCACAGGCAATACATTGTTTTACCTTCTAGCTGAGAAGTTCAGAAGTATGTAAGATCTGCTGCCGTGAAGGAAATCTCTTCTGCTGTATTACTTGTTTGAGCTTCTTTCATGGGGACTGTCACCTCCCACCTGTGGAAACTGAGAGGTTTGTGAGATGCAGCCCTGGCTCCCTTTAGGGACTTTTCCTCCTGTCACCCACACTCCCCCTGCAGAGTTCCTCCTTGTGTCCAGATGGGGAAGAAGCAGGGTTGAAGGTGTGGGGTCCAATGGTATGATCCTGGGATCTGTTTAAAGACCTGTGAGCTGGAAGGTAATGTTTTCCTCTTTCCTCTGGAAGGCTGAGGCCGGTAGCTGGGTTTTTGCCTACATACCACTACTGTCCTTTCCAGAACTTTCTCAGCGCAGATTCCTGTTCACAGGAGTGGAAATGACAGTGGTTTATGTTCTGTACTTATTCAGAAATGGCAGGAAACATGGACTTTTTGCCATGTTCTCAACTGGTTTATTGAGGCCCAAGAGCCCAAGGGTTAAGGCCTAATCTCTGGCACTCAGGCCTGGTGGGCAAGGCTCCTTGTGCTCCCAGCAGCTCAGGGAAAGGAGAGCCCACCACTCACTCTGACACCAACCTCTACCCCCTCAACTCCTGCTGCTACCCTTGATGGGAGGAGGGTCATTGACTCAGACCCCACATGTAGGTCTTGGGGACTCTAGGGAGTATCCCCTTCATTCTCAGGTTGTGCCCATTGGCCACTCCTGAAAAGAAAATAGTGGCAGCCATAGGGACAGTGGCTGTTTCTGGGGCTTTGCCTTGCTCACCTATGCCGAACCTCTCAGGAGCCCGTGGAGTTGCACCTTGTGCAGGGTGAAGGAGTGTTCAAGAAGTCAGCAGTCTGCCAGGGAATCTGAGGTCCTGGCGAGGCCGATGGGGCCTGAGTCGCAGCTGGTGAGTCAAATTCAAACCCCAAGATCGCTCCTTTCTGCTTGCATGTGAGAAGTCAACAGTCATAGGGTGGGAGGAGGACACCAAAGGGAGTCTGCTCTTCTGAACAGATCTCAACCATGCTGAACACTCACCATAACCTGTTTGCAGAAAAGAAAAAAAAATCAGCCATTACATGTCTATTTCCTAGAGCCATGCCTGTTTGAGGAAACTTCTGGAAAACTAGTGTGGCCATGACTCTGCTTTGCATGCATATGGGCTCATGCTCTCTAAGCTGATTTTCATTCAAATTCTTCTTCTCTTGTAGAAATGTGAGTTCCTCCTCTTGATGCTCTATTGCCATTCAGAGAGCAATGGTTTTCCGAATATTCAACGTGATAACTATGTGAGTAACAATAACAAAACATTATTACAGGCCTCCATAATGTTGTCTGACCTTGACATGGGCTCTTGTGGGATTGGTGATCTGAAAGCCATGGGAGTGAGAACACGAGATGCTGTTTTTCTTACTATGTATTTCAGCTGGATTTTATGGGAATCCACAGAAGGCAGACATTGTACTGTATCAGAAATCCTCTCAATATTATTTTTTCATCAGAGAATAGAAAATTTTCAATGCATGGCTGATTTTTTGGTGCTGGATGAAATCAAGAAGAGGCTAAGTGAGCGGCGTTACCTCAATGTGATGGGGTTTATGCAGGACATGCGCCGCATCTTTTGGGTACACAGGGCGTCTAAAAAGGTAAGTGGCTTTCCCTGTTTCTATTTCATTTTCTTTCCATTGAGACACTTTGCTCTCATTTTTTAGAGTAGGGAAATTTTTATAGTTTATCTCATCCTATCATAAGTCTATAGAAGCAAGGGATCCAAAAGTGAGTGAATTTTATAATTCAAGATAGAGCATCACAGTCCCCCGAGAGCTCATTCCTCTCCTCAAAGGCAAGAGGTACCCATTGAGAACACTCTGTCCTCCCTGCTCCAAATAAGCCCATAAGAGAATTGTATCCTAAAGTTATATTGTGCTTCTTATCTCTCTCCAAATATTCTCAAACTTCTCAGAAATTCGAAACTCTAGGTTCCTTTGCATGTAAATGAATATATACTTAACAGACAGGAATAGAAGTGACAACATGAAAGAAAGATAACTAATTATACTGAGACATCTGTAATATTTGATGGTTACACAGACCTTAGATTACTTTTCCAATTATCACTAAAGTAAACAACCCAAACCAAATGAGTAAGAGTCCCCAAGTATGGTAATGATTTTTCATTTTTGCCTAGATAACAGTAATAATCATGCACTTAGGACAAAGAAATTACTCTTAGCTACATGAGTTTTTAATCTTAACCTGGTTAATGTAATTTAGAGTTTTAGGCAAAAGTTCTGATCACACTCAAATTGCAAGGTATCTAATGACACTGATAATAAATGTCATTATGTTTTTCTTTTTTTTTCAGTGCAATAACTTTTGCTGGGGAATTAGACAGGAGGAGCAATTTGAGCTGAATTTCAAGCAAGTGTTTGCTGTTCAGGAAACAGAACAAGAACATACAACAAAATTAAATTAGAAAACAAAATTAGAAGTTCAATAAAGAAGAAGAAACTATGTCACATACGACGGAGCCCCCACAAGACTATCAGAAAATTACTCAACAGACATTTTGCAGATCAAGAGAGAGTGGATGATATATTGAAAATATTGAAAGAAAATAATTGTTAAGGAAGACTAGTACTCAGCAAAGCTGTCCTATAGAATTAAAGGAGAAATAGACCCATCAAAGGGAACTTGAGAAAGTTCATTACCACTAGAACTGCTTTATAAGAAGCGCTAAAGGATGTTTTTCAAGCTAAAATAAAAGGAAAGTAATTAACATTGCAAAAACATGACCTGAACTCTCAACTATACACAGTTGGGTGCCCTTTCTTACTTTGTTACAGGCACTGGGAATTTAGAGCAGGTAAGAGGCAGAGGGAAGGTTGTGGCCCAAATCCCTTGGGAAGAGATGGCTGCCTAGACATGTCCTGAAACAAAATACCAGATTCAAAAACCACAACTCAACCTCCTTCTTTAACAAAGAAAAATATACTTTTCAGCTTTTTGGCAACAACTTTTATATCTCATATGTATAAATGGTTTTTAAGTATTAACTCTAACTGAAATTCTAAAATAAACCATGTATTTTCTAGGCATATTACTTGTTCTGATATTTTTGTTTATGAAACAAGCCCACTCTAAGTAGGTGTGTGTGCTCTTGTATCACAGAAATACATAATGTACCTAAGATGCCTCTGTGCCGTGTATCTCCTAACGGACGTGCCTCTGATGCACGGCACAGAGGCATCTCTCTTCCTTGGTGGGCAGGGACTCAGGGGCACAGCAACCACTGCCATCTAAGAAGCCAGAAGCAGACTGGGCTTGGGAGTGGGCAGGGTTGGCCTGCATCTAGTGGGGATGGAGAGTTCTGTTTCTGATCTGCAGAGTGAGCTCTTACCCAACCCATTGCTTCCAGAGAACAAAAACTGGGTGAACCTGGAAGTAGAGCGAACCTCACAAGCAGCTAGCAGATGTGTTCTGCTTAGTATTGCCTGATTCTGAGAGCAGCCACAGACTTGGGTGGGTGGCTCAAACTTTGGTAGAAAGTTCTCTTTTTTTCTGGCCAGCAGAGTCAGGGAAGAAGCCAGGGCAACCATGCTCCCTGGGAATGAAGGGGGAAATCCCAGAAGGTCCAAAGTCGTCAAGAGGAGCCTCAAATTCTGTGTATAAACCCTCTGCAAGTATCCTGACATGAGTTCTAAAACAATTGCCAGGCAGAAGGTGAGACAGATGGGGATCAAAATACCATCTTTTTTCCTGATAAAAGCGGGATCAGGGGACACGGTTTAGATGGTGCCAAAAAAGAATTCCTAAGTCTGAACCCCAGAACGGGGCTTAGTTTCAAGTCCCCAGGCTGCTCCAGTCAACCACACGTATTCTCCCATCCTCAGGCCACTGTCCCTTGCACTGGAGCTCAGAGGAGCACAGAGCTCTGGCCCCTTCAGCAGCATGAGCCCAGGGAGACCCACCAAGGAGCAAACTCACCTTCACAGAACTCCCAGCCTCAGAGTCTCCCCAGGAAGAAGGGAGGGCAAAGATGTGAAAGCCGAGTGCTGAGTATTTACATCTGTACTTTCAGTTTCTGCTCTGCTGACTGTTGGGCCACCTCCCAGAAGGGGACATTGGTGTGGGGCCTGAGTGCTCCCACTTGGGTCCCAGGTGTCCCTCCTCTCCATTTCTGCATCCGCAGAGGTTCTAGGTCTTCATCCTTTGGGCCAGTGGCTGCTGATGCTGCTGCCAACACTCAGCATGGTGGTGGCCTAGGCAGCCTATTGCTCAGGGATGAGGAGAGACATGGGACACTAGAAAAGGTTGGTGTCATTGGTGTCAAATTCTGTCTTGTCCCCAAGCACCATGGAGGATGGGAGCAGAGGACAGCTGTGCTCAGCAGAGGCTCTGCTTACTAGTTCTTCTACCTCCCAAGTGAGACAGGAGGCAGGGTAGGGAGAGAGAGATCCCCCCTGTGTGCAGAACTTGGGACACACTGAGACCCTGTGTTCTTGTTAAAAAAAAAATGTTCTCATCAGTGTATGGAATCTGTCTAGATTTGATGTGTGCTCCTTTGGGAGAAAAGAAAAGACATACATGGAGAGAGGGTAGAACCTTCCTCTCTGTGTTAAATGAAATAGGGTGAGAACCCTTATTTACAGTCAGAGGAAGTGGGGCTCAAGGGAACAAATGTGGAAACCATTGCTATTGAGAATGTTGCTTCTCCAGTCCTGTTTCTGAACATTGAGACCTAAAGAGTTACGTCTCTGCACCCTCTTAGAAAGTTGCAGTAGGTGAGGACAGTGGGATTTACAGGTGTTTTTCATGTTTTTGCACAAGCAAGGGGACTCCTGGGGGTTGGTCCTGCTCCTCCCCTGGGGTCCTCCTCCCCTGGCCTCCAGGTCCCTCCTGTCCCTCTTTGTTCTCTATTCCTACTGCTACATGTCCTGATGGCAAAGGAACTCGCGCCCCCCCGCCCCGCACCCCCTCCCTTTCTGGCTGCAGGAGGAGGGAGACAGTGTGACTTTCACTTCTCATTTCCCCGTTTGGGTGGAACCCTCCCTGGGTGAGTTCACTCACTTCCTGCTCAGGGATCAGCAGCCACAAAGACCCAGGCTGGGGAGACTGGAAGGATTAGTGGTCCAGGCAGGGCCCGGGGCAGGACGATGGCCAGTAGGGGCAGCGACCTCAGCACCAGGTCAGTCTCTCTCTCCCTTTAACTTTCTGTCTGGCTGTGCTGCTGCTTTAGTGTGTTTATTAGACACTCGTCTAAACCTTGACGTCCGTCCTGCTTTACAGGAACACTGGTGTGCAATGTAATGGAATACAGGAATACCAGTGAGGGAATTGGATCTTTAAACTGCAGAGGGACAGCTGCTGGTGTGAGTGCAGCTGCCACAACCCACAGGACTCTTGTCTTATAGCTCCTGCTCAGCTCGAAGCCCATCTGGACTCCGCTGTCGTTTCTGATACTTTGAGACAGTGACTTGTTATTTTCTCATGATGTCTGAACCCTCTCATTTTCCTCAGGCCCCCTCTGCTTTCACCTAGGTTGTTTCAAAGAGAGTATGTTTGAAAGTATAAAATTTGGGGTGCCTTGGTCTCATACCTGACCTGGGGAGGGGCCAGCCTGGCCTTATTCCTGAATCTGTCTAGGGGTGTGGGTTCTTCCCCCAGGGATCTTGATTGACTGGAGTTAAAGGAAGAGGGAGGACAAAGATGTGAAAGTCGAGTGCGGGCCGAGTATTTACATCTGTACTTTCAGTTTCTGCTCTTTAATGCATTATACCTCTGACAAGGAAAAGGCTATTGATCCTGTCTTTCTCTAGTAATGGGTCAGTAAATAACATTACTTAATATGTTTAATTGGATGTCTTTTTAATACAAAAGAAATGCATTACACAGTCTTGATCATAAAGTTTTGAATGACATGGATGTATGTAGAGGGAAAAATCCTATTTCACCAACCCACCCCACTGCAGCTTCCAATCCTGGTCCTGTTGAGTGTTATGAAGAGAGAGGCATAGTATTTTATGTCTCTCTCTGCATTTACACATATAACTTATTTTCCTATGGAAAACATTTCTGTCTTATATTTTAATGATAAGGTTACATTGTATATACCATTCTTCATTTTACATTTAAAAATTAATATTAAAATTATTAGAGGTCTTTTCATGTTAATAAACATATGGATCCACCTCACTCTTAACAGTTGCACATTACTTCATGGAACTGATATTTAAACCATTTATGTTCTTTTCAGTTGTTCACTGTTACCAAAAAACTGCGATAAATAACAATTGTATATTTATGTTTTTGCATATATACAAGTATTTGTCTTGTGTCAAAAACCAAAAGGTGAAATTGTTGAGGCAAAGGGTACTAATATTTAATTGTTTATGGATCCTACAAAATTTCCTTCCTAGTGGCTGAACCACTATATTCTCCTACCACTAGCTGATGAACCATCTCTCCACACCCAGACTTCACAGAGGTGCTAGATCAGTGGTTCTCAACCTTCCTAATGCCGCGAGACTTTAATATAGTTCCTCATGTTGTGGTGACCCCAACCATAAAATTACTTTCGTTGCTATTTTATAACTGTAATTTTGCTACTGTTATGAATCATAATGTAAATATCTGATATACAGGACATATTTTCATTGTTACAAATTGAACATAATTAAAGCATAGTGATTAATCACAAAAACAATATGTAATTATATATGTGTCTTCCGATGGTCTTAGGCGACCCCTGTGAAAGGGTCATTCAACCCCCAAAGGGGTCATGACCCACAGGTTGAGAACCGCTGTGCTAGATAAAGGGATGCATCCTTTTCATTTGCATTCTCAGAATACATGGGCAGTTGAACATGGTTTTGTGTCTCTTGACCATTTAAATTGCCTGATCTATCATTGCTGGTTTATTTTTGACCAATGTAATCAGTTGAGGTGATTATCTTTTCTGTAATGATACGGGAGAGTTTGCTATGTAGTTTGAACTTTATAAATAAACTTCTTTATAAATATACTTCCTTTTAACTGTTTTATGGTGACTTCTATCTTATTAAAACTTTTAAATTTAGAGTAAAAAGTTATTATAGTACTGATTTTATAAGATAGATGCACCCTTGTTATTACAAATAAATAAAAGTGACGAAGAAAGTTACTGGTGAATTCCACACACACTGTCTTTTACCACAGTTCTCCTGTTCTTAAGGTGGCAGATTCAATTCTACCTTTACTTCAGGGAAACTTTCTTCTCTACTATCTTCAAAAATGTATATATATATATTTTAAATTTGGGGGCAAAACTTTTCTTCCATTGGTGCAACTTTAACCTTCACAACTTTATCTGTCTCTAATAAATCATCGCTTTAGGATTTCACTTTGTTTTCATAATGGTTATCTCAAACCTTTCTTCTATGACAATTACTTAATTTTTAATAGTTATTGTGGTTTCTTGTTATTACTACATTTTTTAAAATGTTGATTGTGTTAGTTTCTTTATTCCCCAGCCAGAACCCACTACCTGTATCAAGCCAGATAGTCAGCCTCTAGCTGTGTCCAGAATTGATACAGCTTCCTCAGGGCAAAATGACTTCCCAGCTTTCAATAACACTCTGTGTTCTCTAGACCTCATCATAATTGTTGCCATTTCTGAATGGTGAGCCTTTGGGTAATGCTACCCTGCTTTTCAGTGACAATTGACATGGTTTCTTTAGCTTCTTGGCCTGAAAAACTTGACTGCATATCCTGAGGGGGGAACTGACTGTGTTGGGGTGCTTCACTCCAGCCTTGCATGACCATCACAATCTTATCTGTCTTCCTTGCTCTCAGCAGAAGTCCTTGTCCTGGACCAAGCCCAGATTCTCATTCTCTGCTTTGTAACTAGTTTTTTTCATTTTCTTTTTTAAATTTTTTTTATTGATTTCAGAGAGAAAGGGAGAGGAAGCGAGAGATAGAAACATCAATGATGAGAAAGAATCATTGATTGGCTGCCTCCTACACAATCGGGGATTAAGCCTCAACCTGGGCATATGCCCTAACCTGACCAGAAATCAAACCGTGACCTCCTGATTCATAGGTTGATGCTTAA